ATCAGACAATGTCAAGATTTTTAAATTTAAATTACTTTTAAACACATAAAACTCCCCGATGAAGAGCTAATTATTTTCAGTTATTGCATATACCCCAAGAGTAATATAATCTTTGATTTCTAACAATATAAAAGTAATCAATAAAAGAAATTCTTTAATACTCATCCTCATACAGTACAAATTTCTAAAACCGTTTTGAGTTTGGTATATCTTAGATTTTTGATACTAGATTACAATAATGATAATGTTTTAGTTCCCATATAATCAGTTTTACGCTATTCAATTTATTTATTTTCTAAAACTACAATTTAACAAAAGCGATATATATAGTTATATTACAACAAAAACGTTTTTAATGAAAAATGAAATATATTTCTCTTCCGCTTCTTTGTCTGTTTCCATTCTTTGATCTGAATAAATTAAAAAATTAATTTCTGCTTCCTTTCGTCAAAGAATTAAGTGAAAAAGCAGCAAGTTTAATAAACTCATTATTTTATGTTATTTGTGAGAAAAGAGATCCGGACGTTCGTTGCTGTGAAACAGTAGACGTCACGTGGAAAAGTTGTCGACGTTTTAGAAGTGGAAAGGGCATTTCGTCGGAAAAATTTAATAGGGTTCGTAACGTACCTTCCAGTTATACACACACATATATATTATATCTACATTTGTACGTATGCTATCTACAATAACTGGTGTACCAATGGAAGGTAGGTAAATGTAAATTCACGAATTCGCTTACGGTTTGATATTTTATCGCTTTCTAGACAAATTTTCATTCCAAATTAACTTCAATTTATTATGAGATTGAACCGCGTCATTGTGGCGAGATTTAACAACGTTTTACACGCAATTACACATTCAGGGTTTTCCTATATCATTGTTTTATAACTTGATGTAAGACGAAGTTTATAGAAGTAATTTGGACTTTATTACTTCGAAGATATTGTCACAGAAATCTTACAACACATATAATATAAGTAATAGAAAAAAGACTACGATTTTGTCAATCCTTTGCGCTTAATTAAACATAGCTTCCTTATTTTTGCTCACTAAATCTTCAAAGAAGATTAGTGACAATGTTTTCATTTTTAATTTCAAGACTTTTCGATTTTCCTTTAGAAATTCAGAAACCTTTAAAGCAATTGAAAAATTGAATCTCCTCTTATCGCCTTCTCTGCAGGAGGTTTTTATCATCCCAATGGAAATTTAATGAATAACTTCCAGAAAAACTAACAAACTGACAATGATCCAAGAAATCTTAGTTCATATGTTTCAAATAACACTGAAGATGTACAAATACGCCAATGTGAGGTGCAAGTCTTGATTACTGCTCAACCTACGCAGACTTTTTGATACTGGAACCAAAGCTTGTTTCTCCATTGCAAATTGCTATATCTTTTCCTGCAAAATCCAATAACGATATGGATTCTAATTAGTAATTATTCTCTCTCTCTCTCCTTTCTCCTATCTATCTATGTTCTGTTGTGTTCTGTTTGTTTATTTAGCCAAAACGTGCCCGTTGTTGTTCTGTAATTATACAACCTTGACTGAATAAACTTCCTCGATCGCTATATCTCTCATCTTCAGCGAAATGCTATGCTTAATTCCAACATGTATGTATAGATATATCCACTGCAGATCGCAACGTATCTGATTCATAGTTTCTCTACTAACCTCTGCAAACAATGTTGTCGAGATGGGCAAATTGCAATTAGTTAAAAGCATTGCTGTTTCTATTGTTCCATAAAGATCATCCTCTCTCTCTAAATCGTAAAATAGTCGATGTGAATCCCTTTTTACAGATATCGAAAAACGGATTTGGTCTGCTCCATCATGAATATATTTTAAACATAAAGCAAATATTTTCGCAAATCTTAAAATAGAATCAAATATTTAAATCTGCCGCAATGCCACAATAAAATGGCTGTTCGACTCAAATGTGATAGACTTCGTAGAGATTTCTTTTGAAAAACGTTAATACTTAGACGTGATCTCAGTTCTTTTGGTGGAAAATAAAGCTGAAATTTTGCTTTAATCTCCCTGAAGGAATGATACCATATTTTGCAAAATTATTTAGCTTTTCCTTTTTCGCGCATTTGTATCTACATTTTGAGACTATTGTTTTTGAAATTATATTCTGGTATTACAAGATTCTGATAAAACACTCTCTATACCTTTGATGAGTGACCGTAGGTATATTTTTATTGGATTACGTCAGAATACCGGATTGTTATAAAGGATTGAGACCAAAGACTGGTTAATTGTTGGACAATTTTCTCATTCCTTGAAAATTAGAGCAATTTACATCTCTTAACAATTTACCAGCAGTAATATAATCTAGACCTCTCCTCCTGTTCCTGTTTCTAATACGTCTTACACTAATCCTTCAAGTCTGAGGAGGTGTCCCACGAATCTATCTCGTCTACTTGTTATTATTGACTTCCATAACACCCTCTATTCTCCTACTACTTTTTGTAGTACCTCCTCATTTCTCACAGCTTAGCAGACGTAAAAATAGGAATGAAAAAAATACGCAAAATGATTACAGTAAAAGTTTCTTCGAACTTGGCATTACTTCTGAGTTCCTCCACTACCAAAACGCCTAAATTCATTGAACATGATGAACTGTTTGCATTAATTAGTATTTGGTGAAGATTACAGAACAGTTTCGTGCATTCCCATCGATGTAACAAGTGCAGCATTACGCAAACTGTATAATCTAATTTTAATCGGATCGTTCAGATAAATGAGTCAAGTTACCCAACTGATTGAACCGTACGTAATTTCCATAGACGACGACCTGCTCATCTGCTCATATATGCCAAAATTGAACGCACTTAAACGGTAGGAAGGGAAACGCGCTGCCAACAACAAGGCTCCATAAGATGCGACACTACACGGGGATGAGACGCCGTTGTTTCTGCTTTAATAGCAAGCAACAAAGCGCACTTACGTCGAAGAGCAACCGTTGATTGTAATTATTATGTAGCGCAAGGAGCGTAGATGACATCGATGGCAACAGCTTCTACCCCCGACCCATCGTTTGCTGATAGCTCAGCTTCGCTCCTACCGCCTTCGGTTATGATAGATGACGGTTTTGGTAGCACTGTGGCGACCAATATTCAGAAACTTGACGGCAACGTTGCCACTCAACTTCCAACAGCTCAATTTCCTTGCTGTTTTTTTAATATACGACATTGATCGTTCATATAGTGTAGAAATAATAGAAACAACCCCTAAATCACACCAAAAATTATGCACCTTGTTCTCCGGTTTTATAGCACACAAACTTTCTTTTATAATGTGTATGATGAACGAAAACAATAAATCGTGACAGTTTTCTTATACAAATAATATTAAATCAACAATATACAATTTTTCTTAACCCATCTAAGATACCCCAAATCTAAGCATATCAAGTTATCACGGGGAGAAGATGCATTATCTTTATATTCCGATGACTGCCGCATTGTTACTTTCCAGGCTGGAGATTCTTTTTCTTTACATTGTCCTTTAATGACACAGGTATTCAACAAAGCATCAGAATATTCCAATGGACACTGAACGTCGGTATTGTAATACAGGTTCACCATATTTCGCATTTTGCAAGCTTTATTTATGTGAATACATCAGACAATGTCAAGATTTTTNACCTACCCTATTGATAAAGATATTTAAATAATGTTTATATAACTTTCTCAATATTTTTATGTATTTTTCCATTAGTTTTACCTTTGAATATTGTTTAAGAATGACTATACAAATATTTACATGAAATGTATAAAAATTGGCATATTTATTAACTTTGAACCCCCATAACTTTTTATGGGGGTGAGACCGCCACGAACTTTTTATGGTACAGTGGTGGTGGAGACCTTCGACCTTCTCTTTCTATCCCCCCCATCATCATCTAGACCTTTACCAATCCTTCGTCAATAAACGGAAAACACCGTCGTCGCTTCCCACATAAATATTATTGTTTCTGGCAACGCCGGGTGAAAGAATCATTGTCGGTGTGATACGCCATTATAAGCATGCAGGAGGGAAGGACACGTGACGACGCTGGCGTCGGCGACGCCATTTCGCAAAAGCTAATCTTTATGACTGACGGTTCCGATAGTAGCGACGTATAGCATTTACGTATATGGGTTTCAAATTTCAACATTATCGGCAGCTTCGACCAAACACGCGAGGGCTCTTGCCTCCGAGGCCCCTTTGTGGCTGCCTCGACTCGAACAATTACCTGCTTGCTACATTCCAAACGCGATAACGAAAATTGTTGTTACATCAGATGAAAAAGATGATACGCCGCCAGTCATGAATATCAATGTTCGTTTTTCTTTCTTTTAAAAAAACAATTCACTCGCTGACTTTTTAATATACAATAAAACAAAACGAAATTACAACCCCCCTTTTTTTTTCTCAATTATATCGGAAGTTCCTCGAGTAAATCCAAATTTTATTAATGTTGACTTACCTAAGTCATTCCATAAATGCCTGAATCGGCACTTCGCGAGCAGATACTCTACAATTTATTATGAAACAATAATAAGAGTTAGTACTTTGCATTAATGAAAAAAATAGACGAAGACTCACCCGGAAGAATACGGTGAGGTCCTGATCGTTAATCCTACAATGAAGATGATCTCCACGAAACTTATGTCATCCCAGCAGTAGCATATGTAAGTCCTCCTGATTACCGGTAGTACACACGGGAACTTGTACTGGAATTTATGGTGGAATAGGGAGTTTCTTTTTGTCATGGAGTAGATTAGTCAGAAAAATACTTGTGCTTTCTATTTGAATGCTACTTATTAGATACTTAACAAATTTTTTATTGTTTTTTTTTACTTTTTCTGTAATAGCATTTTTTTCATGTAAATGAGAAGCTATTTACAATTTTCTTGAACCAACAAGATACAGTAATTACACAAAAAACACCAGGGTTATTAATCTTCTAGCTGGTGAAAAGTATCTTGTGTTTATAAATCAAAGTTGGATAAAAATTAAACATTTATTACGATTTTGGCAATGTATGCGCAACACATTTGACAATAAAAAACAACGTTAAGCTTCTATAATAAATAAAAATTAAATGTTTTCCGCATACTTATAGCAAAACTTCGGTGTATCAAAATCTTATACATACAGTTAGTTATACGATACAAATCTGTATCTTTCAAAAATACATTTAATTTGGGAGCACTTAGGGCTTGCTACTGTATTCTAATTACTTGAAATAATCGAAAATGAAAATAATTAATATAACTGTCTGTTACATGCAAATCGCTGTCTACAAAGTCAAATTCACTTTAGGTTTGAACAAAAATTTATTGGAAATTGTAGATAATGGTTTCAGTTGAGTTTAATAAGGCCGGACTTTATCAAAAATATTAAATTTAAAATTTCCCTTTAATTAAAAGCAGAAATAAAACATTTTAGCAAACCCTTACATGCACTTTCACAACATCTTTATAAAAATAGCCTATTATTAGTCAACATTCTTAAAAAATTTTTGTTAAATAAGTAAACGTACAAAATGTCCGTAGTGTAAAATATTACGTAACATTCAGCATTATTATAAATATCAAAAACGTCACTGTTACGTTATCGTCAGAGTATTTAATTTATCACTCAGTTACCTCCGCACGAATCAGGTGATGGGAATGGCGCGTTCTCTTCATAAATCATCACCAAAGAACTGTACGACTTTCGTTTCTTCTTCATCTATATACGAAACGACCGCATTAATATAATCATAAAAATACATTTTAAACACGACTCAAGAGCGACTTTTTTTTTGTTCTTGAATGTCATTTTATTTACAAGATTGGAATATAAAGTCAGGACCAGAAAAATTGATAATAGGTAGTCAAAATTCGTTTAGGTATTCACATTTCACGACTCACGACCCTCTTTTGAGACATGCTAAAATTGTAGGTATCACAAAGCATCAAGCTCAGTAGCGCACACATGAAAAAACAATTGCTTTGCTTTAACTTTCAAAAGAAATTATTGATATAAAGTCTAAATATTTGGCTCGATCTTTGTCCAATTCTTTTATTTGCATATATGCGTGCGTGATAAGCAAAATTGTACCTATCCTTGGTAAGCCAGTCAAATTATTTTTGAAAATTTTACAATTGCAATAGGGAGATTTGAATTAAAAACTATTATTTTAATATATATGTCCTTTTTTGATAATTAAGGACTTTATAGTAGATAGTTCAACGATTACGTTTCAATCAGCTGTATTGCAAAATTTGGCAATTTTTTTATAATCAAATTCAATTAAGTACTCGAAAACAACTAAACTTTTGAATTTGAAACTTCGCACACTTTTTTAGTATTAAGAAAGGAACACTTTCACTAAATTTCATGAATTTTTTTGTGATTTATTAATCGTGGCAGAGCAATTATGGAAAGTCGAGTTTTAACATCATCTTTGCAAATATTATTTTTTAACTAACAGAAATTGTAAAGAACTTATTATCCTTTTACTGTTAAAACCTCCCTAATCTGAAATTTTATTTGTACCCTTATCAATATAAAAGCAATGCATATCGTGCAAAATTGTTATTACAAAATGTAACTGTGTCACATGTTGGATTATGTGTAATGTAGTTCAAGATTGTCGTACAATTGCAATTAGTTTTAGGTAATTTTCAGGGTCGTGTTAGAGACTACGTAGTGTATTTTAGAAGGAAAGATATAGGGGAAAGTATATAAGAAATTAGCCCCAGCATTTCACCAAAACCGTAAGCAAGTTTAATTATAAGAATCCTGATAATCAATGCGTGAGTCCCAATATTGAAAATATAGATAAAATAACAATAACTATCAATTCCTTTCAGAAAAATATTTTGAGGTTGTTTGAAGTTACAAAGAAGAAAGTTTTTATGTTAGAAAAGAAAAGCTTTAACGCAAATAACATTCAAAATGATAGTAAAGAGAATAATCCTTATTTGTTTTTCAAATCCAAATGTAAAAATGTTTTATTGAACACCATACAGATATCTGAGCAAAAAGCTATTTGGAACTCACTTTCGATTTCGAATCCTTTTATTAGGTACCTAGGTGGTGTATATTTTACTAGATATTATTTTTCCGAAAGCCTTCCATTCGCCAGTCAAAATGAAAACTGTAACTTACTTCTATTCCATTGTCTTTAAAGAACAATGGATTGGCATCCATTTAATGGTTGCTGAGGCTGCGCAATGTTGTTGATGTTTCATTGTCTTTCGTGTTTTTGATGGTCTTACCTTCTGCTGATTGGCGGAAGTTTCGTCGCAGCTGCTGGTGCTGCTACTGGAAGTGATACCCTCTTCTAATGTAAGTCTAGACGAAAGACCTTGTAATTCCATTTCCACATACAACTGATCCAACTGATCGTTAACCAGCGTGGGCTAAAAACAATATAAATCGCTTTTTATTAAGAGATATTTCTTATATGGCCCGACTGCGTTTTCAAATTTATTAAAAGAACGCTCCAACTGTCATCATTGATTGAACTTGTACGTAATTGGTTCAATAGTAGAATGCTGACAGATTGATTGACCCAACCGGTGAAAAATCCTTTTTTTTTAATAGATTCATATTGTACAATTCAAAAACATCGAATCGACAGTTAACCATGTGCTTCGGCAAAAAACCTAAGATTGAACTCCAGATAAACTCTACACAGCCAATGTTTTTAAGAGATATAAATGTAGAAAACGGACGATGTTTTGTCCATACATAGTCCAAGGTAATGGCCCGTGAGATTCAGAATTACCTCTACGTATCAGAACTTCAATAACTGTCGGACAGTGACAGTAATAAATTGATAAACACGGTCGGGCCACTCTTTTAATAAATTTAAAAACAGAAGACATTTTCTTTTTATTATTACATTCTATCAATTTTTTATATCATTGTAAATATATACCGGGTGTCCGGAAACCAGAGAGCTTTCTGACTAGAATATTTATTCTTTATCTAGTTAGTGCTTACCTGCTACAGAAATATTTTCAGACACCCGGTGTAATTAAACCCGAATTTGAACTAAATGAATTAATCCGAAACAATGTACGGATGGGAAGGGCTTCCTTGCGTGGCTGCAGTTCAACGAAAAAGACTTAGAGGGTCGCAAAAGTGCATAAACATCTAATTCTTCTGGCAGTCGCTCCTATAAGTCAAGTAAGGTGCACGTATGTCGTAACTAACATTAGGTGCTGCATAACGTACGATTCAATTTTAAATAATTAAAGAAAAAATAAAAACTGCGTTAAAAAGAAATGTGAAACTGAATAAAAGTTCGTTTCGGTCTTACGAACTATGTCTTTCGTTATTTATTTCTTTGGTTGAATGCATTCTTGCACAGAAGCCTCCCAATCCGATTTTCCCTTACATGCAATTTTAACGAATAATGAACAGTTGAAACAAAACTAAAACAATAAATCCATCAAGACAGGCTTCGATCGCTTCTGATTGGTGAGTTATTGTATTTTTGAGTAGTTAATTACTGGATAATTGCACAATGAACTGAAAATTCGAAGCGTACTTAATTTTTATTTGATTAATTAAATGACTACTTATTAACCGCAAAATATTTCGCTATATCTGATATTTAGTTTTGATCAAATGGTGAAACGGTTAGTCACATGAACGATAATTTTATGAATATACAAATTTTTAAACCCAAAACGGTTATAATCAAAAGAAATGAAATTCTAAAATAATGTTAGTAACATTAAAACAGAACATGGGTAATTTTTGTTTAATGATGAACTTTATACAATCCCCAAAAAATTAGTCGCGTGTCACGGAGACTTAATGTTTTAAGGTAGACACTGGAGGTAGAATAAAAACACTAATGCATTATAAGACAGTGTTTTCTAAGCGAAGGTAGTCGTGCACAAGATAAAACTAAAAAAATAAAATAAAAATATCATAAAAGAACTCGATGAGCAAAATATAAATACGTAAAAGAATTCTTGTCATATACGGGGTAGTCCATTATGCGCGCCTTGCTCTCTAGCGGTCTTAACGCTGAAAATGGAAGAAAATTTTTCCAATAAAAAATATTCTATCTGCGGATATACCGGAGGTATACATCAGCTGCCTTATTTTAAATGGAACACTGTAT